TGCATGCATACTCATCACTTGCATACTTACACTTGCATACTTCCACTTGCATACTTTGACAGCTTTCGCTCTTCCACTTACACAGGGCTACGTATAGCGTTCATGTTATTTATCCTGCCAGTGTGGTGAAAGTGTCAATGTCTAGGTGTGTCTACGTGTAAGTGTCGAAGTGTCAGTGTTCAAAGGATTTTCCGGAAGAACCCTTCGCAATGCTTTCGGGAAAAAGGGATGCGAGGGAGCGGCCTTTTCATTCAGGTAGCTTGGAGTGATGTTCCTTTTTACTTGCATGATCTTGCGTGCATGCGTGCGGAATGTCGCGTTTGTAATGTTACCATTGATCGAGAGACAGGTGTGAGCCGTGTAAGTCCCAAGAGGACAGAGCAGGACATCAGTGCGAGTAGCGCCAGTCCAAAACCGTTTGGACTTGGTATTCTTTTACAGTCGGCGGATTCCATGTTTTTCCTAGGCACCAGGCCACGATGGCACTGCCAGGATCGTTCTGCATTCTGATGCAGTCTGTGTTTGTTTTCTTCTCAGGTGATTCTTTTCACATTGTTTCATCGCATTCCCTTCCATATCATTTGTGTTTTAGCAACAGTTCTCATCGGAGAAGACTGGGTGTACCAGCACAGGAGATCTCAGCAACTCCAAACCGCCCAAATTCTCCTGATCTCTTTATAATAGCTACTATGTTGGAGGCCAACGCTATTAGGTTGGAGAACGTCGCTATTAGGTTGGAGGCCATTGCTATTATCCTTCGACCCGGGGGCCTCCATTAGCAGTGCGTTGAGGGTGCGCCCACCTCACCGCGGCCGGCTGCTGCAACAGTATTGCGGCGGGGTTTCCAGGCGAGTCTGTTTGTTACCGGTTGAGTGATGGTTTGTTGCTCAACCAAGAGAAAGGCGCCAGAGTGACACCAAATCATTGGCACTCTGTGTGGGTTTCTCAACCCTTTTCCTTTTTGGAGTGCACTTTTTCACATTGTTTCTGATCTATGACGCTGTTTTCGGAGGTGGACTGGCTCCAGGATTGCCAGTGCGACTAGGCTAAGAGAATTTAAGAGAACGTTTGTCGCAAGGCGCAGCGTGACTTCGTCAACTTTGTATCCCGCAGCTTGTCAACTGGGCCCTCTCGGGCTGAGGGGAGGGGTGTTGAGTTGAAGTCACGGCTTCAAGTCAAGGGCTTGCAGGCATTTCCCATATTTTCCATGCCAATAGATCCAACAGGTTTGTTTCATGCACTCCTTTTTGTGTTTCATGTCAACCATCATTTTGTTGTGCTTGGGGGGGTTGGGCATTGGTTGCCTGTGTGCCCACACAAGAACAAATCTGTTCAGACACCTCAGTGAATCTCAGCTCTGATCGGCTGTTGAGTCAAGACTGCAGTGTGTCCTCTCGCAGCCCTTCTCGGGCACTGCTTGGCACGCTTCTAGTTCTATGCGGATGGAGCCAAGAACAGAAAGAACTGCCCTGTGATCAAACAGGTAGACTTTGTTCACCCAGCGTCGCTCCATGTCACAGCATCCAGTCTTTGGCAAACGCAGCTAAACGTCCCATCGTTATCATGTCATTGCCGATTGGCTCCTTGAAAAGACCAAACAGGCCACAGTGAGCGATGCATATGATGACGGCATCTCATATACACATACCTGTGTGTGTGTGATGCATGTGCATGTTTTACATTGAATATCCCTTTCGACCCTTCCTGTTCAAGATGATGGCACAACGGCGGGCACTTCCCACGGTGAAGCCGAGGCAAGTTCGGGAACTGCGTGCGGCTGTGGTTCCTCCTGGATCCCGAGGACCGCTGGCCACGGCCACTGAGCCATTGGCGGCACGTGTGGAACGAATCCACACGCGCCGCACAGCTGTTGAGTTCATATTGAATTCTTTTTTCGTTAGGAGGAAGAAGATTCACCAAAAGGATCACGGAAGCGAATAAGGCCTTCACACAGGGTTCGTGGAAAAGAGTCATCACACACGTTAACAGATGCCTTCAGATGCCTTGAGGAGAATTTGAAGATGGCTGAGAAGCAGTTCATGCGTGCTTGCGAGGCCAGGGAGAAAGTCTTCGGCACGAGGGTTGCTCATGCCAGAGTGGTTGCAACATCTAAGCGGCCGGAGCCGCAATTCTTAAAAGCTTTTCAGCTTTGCATTGCTGATGGCTTTTGGCTGTGATTTGCTGTACTTCAACTAGAATGGTGCTTTTCATGTGGACCTCTTGGAGAAGCAAAGGGGAGAAGAGCACGGAGAGTGAGAGGATGTGAGAAGGAGAGAAGCAGGTCGTCGCACCGTCGCACCACGTGAGTGCCCAATCCCAGTGGCAGGACATTGGCTTCAGTGGGTGTTTGGTGACACTTTGGCGCCAGCTCGACCCGGAGGGCACAGGAGACATCGAACACGACCCAACCAGTAGGTTAAAACGAAGAGATCAAAGTAGAACATGCCAAACAAGTCTTCATGGAGTCAAACAGAATGTCCCAGTTCATCTTTCTACCGTTGTGACCTTTATCATTTAGAATTGTCGCCCAGCAATGCTCAGGCAGTTTTGAACCAAACATGCTGACCCGGCATGAAGATATGCTCCCTTTTATATCCGTTTACTGTATCCTCAACAGGGATGGGTGCATTAGCTAGGTCGACAAGTTCTTTCGGCTGCCCGAAGTGGGGTCCGGTTGGGGTCCGGTTCCTTTGTTTGCGTGATGGCCGGCCGGCGGAATGAACAGGACACATCTCTTTGCATGACATTGATCCAGCAACTGCGCTCGCGCTGGCTGACTTTAAGGCACGAACTCTGAGACGAAACGGGGCATTGATGGGCACGAACTGGGGGGGGGGGGGCATGCAATCACCTGTATTTTTTGCATCTCATGCACGCAAGCATGGTTAATCACGGATGACCTGAACAGGAGCATCGAACCACTCCGGAGGGCAATTGGTTGGATTGAATTTTTGATCAAAGCAGTGAGCCAGTAGTGAGCATCACACCTTTGATAGGTCCAATATGGTCCATTTATTTGACTATCCTGGAGATCCATTCTCCAACACAAAACAAGCGGATTCCACTGCCAGTGGATATATATATATATATAGTCAGTGTTTTATTTATCATGAACCTCCGCGGTTCACATATACAGTTATGTATGTATTGTACATGCTAACCTGCTAACCCCTCCACCACGGGAACCTGGGTGTCGGACATATGCAGGTTTTGGCAGAGAATTAATTAGGGATTTATTATGCCGGGTGGTTTGCAAACAGATGTGCATTTTGTCCAGACGGTTAGTTACATATGTATATGCTACCCTCCTCCCAACAATATCTACCAAAGAGGCTGTAAACTGTGGCAACAAAAGATAGGATCGGGTTTCCTTGTTCAAGTGCTAAAGATGGTTCAGTTTAAGCTCACACAACATCAAACACTGTAACACTTATTACCATGAGTATGAACTGACAGACTGACAGCTGAACAATCCGAACTTTGGCTTCTGGCAGGTCGTGCTAATGAAGCAGTTTAATGGTCTGGTGGCCAAGAAACGAGGGAAGGTAGTTCATAGGATTTTCTATGCCTAAGTGTTCAATTTTCATGGAGCATCCTGACATCAATCAAGACATATTGTCGGACGTGAATCCTTACCTTACTGCAGTGGAACCCATGAAGGTTTCCATTTTGGTTTCTTGTTGAAGGCAAGTCGTCCATCAAGCGTATGCGGCGTATGCTCTGAGGCAGCGTGGAGGGTTTCATGAAGACGGCCGCGGTCTGAGTGTCTGCAAACCGGCTGCCTCAGTCACTGGATCCATGTCGCCTCGTGCCTCGGCCCAGCATTCTCACCACCTCTTGACATGTGGTTAATGACTCCTGACATGTGGTTTTGACGGCATGATAACAGTTGGGTCTTGGGCACGTGCCCACTGTGGCATTTTCGCAACAGAACACCACAAGTCAGCTTCATACCCTTGGCTTTGGCTCACAGCTCTATACTACAGCTTTAGAGCAATTCCAAAAAATGCGCTTGCCCATCAGCCCGGTACGATCTCTACGTGTGGCAACCTGATTCAGGCTGTCCACATGTGCCTCGTCCATTAAGATCTCATGACGACTCTTCAACGCACGCAATCCAAAAGCTGCAGTCAACCCATTATCAGCTTTTGGTTGATCAACTCTTTCCTTTGAGGGTGCAATGTTGGGGTCTACCCTTTTTGGTCTCAAGCACTTTCCACTTGACCCCAGCAGGAAGCAAGGCAAGAGCTGCAGCTATAGGTCATTGCATGTGAGAACCATGTGAGAACGTGAGTCACCACAATCCGTTTCTAGGATTTTTATGATCCTAATAGCGATGGCCTCCAACCCACTGTGCATGAGAAACCTGGAGTTTCCGCAGCGCAGGATGCTTTGGATCCTCAGCCTTGGCTGTATCCTCCCCCTCGTGCTCTCGAACGAGACCTGCAATTTCGACGCGCTCAGCTTGCTGCAGCATGTGGTGCCTCGAAAGGTTGAACGGCCGAAGTGATCGACGATCTGATGTTTTCTTCCCAGCACTAAGTGTTTTAGTGTGGGAGGGGCAAGAGTGGGGAAGTTTGCCCTTCGTTTGTGTTTTGGGGCTGGTTTTGGTTTCTGCTTGTCTCCAAGTTTTGTGGCACCTCATGATGACACATGGCTTGCTGAAAGGAAAAGCAGCGGCAGAATCCAGGCCTGACTTTGCCGGGGAGCTTCATGAACTTCCAGGACTGGATGCGTGGCCGAAGGTCACTGTCATCGCTGTGGCGAGCTTCTCTTCGATTTGAATCGCTTGCCATTTTGGGCCCTTGACATGTCCATGTTGTTGCGGATGGCATGACAACTGCGGTTTGGACCCCGGTCGATGCATCGAACGGCTTTGCAGGAACGGTTGCGCAGAAGGCTTCAAGATCACGTGCCAATGATCGAAGGTACCTTGATCACCGGTTGGCTGCAGGAAAACCAATGTGCAGTGGTTTTAAGCATCTTAAGTAGATGGCACTAACTACCCTTGCTGTTTTCCTTTCAGAACTTTCCATCCCAACAGAATCTTTCGGGGCATCACGCAATCTACTCTGACCAGCAGTTTCAGCCTGGTGCTGGATTCGTAAAGGCGTGCCCCACATACAACCTGCTTGGAATTGGGGTCAGAGAGCATCCACCCCCCAATTCCTCCAGTCAAGTGGTACCCCGAAAGTCCATTGTCCAAGTCTTTCGTTCTCATTTCTACCTGATGGGGCGGGAGAACGTCGACGGGAAGAACATGCACCGAACCAATGGTGGGTCTGGTCTTGCTGGCGCACGCTTTTTCTCAGTATGAGTCTATGCCAAAGATCCCTGGAAGAAGGAAAATCAACAACCATTGGTTGGAGAGCTCCCTCTTAAAATGCACACCACCTCTATGAGACGCGAGCACAACAGGACTTCTTGGCTTTGATTGAAAGATTCTGAAGGGTCAACGGAGAGTCGATTCATGTCTGACAGTGTGCACAAAGTGCACACCCTGTTCTGATCATTCAAGGACTTGACTTCACTCTATTCCTTGTCTTGGGCATCCTCGTGTTGTCTTACTGCACGTGCGTAGCCAACCAACATTTCGGATCTTCACGGATCTACCGGTGGCGGGAGCGACTACATGAGACCAGCTAGGGCCCATCTGCTGATGGGCTCGAGTCGGATTAGGCGGCGGGGCTGCCATTCTTGAAAACTTGTGGTTGCTTTGGCTGAGACCCAGCAAGCTCCCGGGGTTGCAAAGGGATGTGCCTTTGTGTGGGGCCGGTCTCCAACTCTTCATTTGTGTGGGGCCGGTCTCCAACTCTTCAATTTCACTCCTTTGCACCCCCTGGCCTGGTTGTCTTATGTGATTCGTTTTCCTCATTTGGGTTCTCAAAAGACTAAGTTCTTCACATGATTGCTCTTGTTTAGTTTTCCTTCTCCCCGCTGGAGATCTGAGGCTGCTAAACCTTTCTTTTTTTCCTTCCGGCAGCACACGACCCAAGACCTGAGCAGCTCCGGTTGTGGAAGCCACGCCCGAACGGGCGTGGCGCATTGTGTCTCACCGAAACGATCCACATGGTCTGAAGCGTGGCAAAATCTGGAAGCACGTGAGAGTATATACAATGCATGAGAGAGATATCAAAGTATCACTACGAGGAGCAGCTGAGCGACGTCCATTTCGGTTTCGGGAGGAACCAGGACGTGTTGATTGCAACTGTCCTTTGTCGAGCACGCCTAGGCGGATTCGAAGAGAGGTCAACGAGCTGGCAGAGAAGAGCCGGAGCCTCAAAACCTTTGATCGTGGCCCAATTGAACTTCCCAACAGATGAGATACCTGTTTGTTTCCCTTCTTTTGTGTTTTTGATCGGGACTGGAGCATGTCGATGTGCGATCCGAGGTTCGTGAAGATTGTGGAGGAGCACCTCCAGGCCACTGCTTCGCCAGCAGTTTCGGGCACAGGACCAGACAGGTCGCTGGCTATGGCGTCCGACGGGTGATTGAATAAATCAAACAAGTGCGCGTGAAACAGCGGAATCTGTTTCAATGTCCATGTGTTGCTTTCTTTGGCAACCGGATTTCTTTAGGCTAATTCTTGTTTCCAAAGCATTTCATTTGACAGATGAAAAGTCAGCAACAAGTAACACGCCTTTGCAGCAAAGAGGGGGTTCAACGTTTCCTGCATAAACTGACTGCTACAATTAGTGAACCTCAAATTGCAGATTTCGTGGCAGGCGCAACATTTTGTCGAAGTGCAGTCAGCCTGGAAGTGCAGCGTTCGTGGCAGGCGTAGCATCTTGTGAAACTAGAAGTGTAGATTTCGTGGCAGGCGCCGCGTTTTGTGAGCTCTCATATGTGTGCTTTCAGTTGTGCTTTCATATGTGTGCGCTCACATGTGTGCTCTCATATATGTGCTCTCATATATGTGCTCTCATGTGTGTGCGCCCATGTGTGTGCTCTCAATTGCTCTCATATGTGTGCTCTCATTGTTGTGCTCTCATATGGTATATATATTATATGTGTGTGTCTTATATGCACGATTATGCACGTTCTCATATACGTGCTCCTTTATGCGTGCTCTCCAGTGTGCTCTCATGTGTTGTGTGCCAGTCTGTAGTTGCTTTTGTTCTCCGAGCACTGTTTGGGGTGTTTTTCTGGGACAGTGGTATAAAGCATTGTGTTTGCTTAGCCTATCTATTCGCAGATTGGCAAATTTCTTTGGGGAGTTGTCCTGGCTCTCAGTTGTTTGCCCGTTCCAGATCCGCTTATCCTATTTGCTTTCATCTACTTAATTAATTACGCTGTATAGTCTGCGCCGCCTAGTCTTTTCACAAAGGGTTTCGCAACATTCAACTGCAATTGCAAATGTTTTCTTTTCTGCCTAGCCAAAGCTAGTTAAACTATGTTAAAATATGGTTGTAACCATGAATCCATATCAATCCTTTTTAGCAATTCTGTGGAGGCCTCCTGGCTCTACAAAATGATTGTTCTTGTCTCCTTTAATTATGTGAGTCAACATCAAAATTATCGAAGACAACTTTTGTAAAGAGCGTTTCGTGTGAAGTTTCCTTGAAAAACGATACGGGACTCATAAAAAACCGGTACCTCCTGCAATGCCACTTCCTAGGCATCTCATGTTTCATTGCATGATTGGTCTTGCAGGGCCAATGCCTTAGAAGAATGGGGCAAGATTTTCACTTCCAATACATCTCCAGATTTGGTCTTTGCCAACGAAGCTCACACTGGATGATCAGGTAAAGGTACCTGCATATGTGGTGCACTGGGGCACATTATAAGCCGCAGCCGGTGGCCACAACCCTTCAACCCATTTTAATCTACAGAGCGAGTCTCACGTCCGCGCGCTTATTCCCTGATCGGCCGCGTGGAACCAGAACAAATTGGCTGCTTTTGCATCACCACGCACTGTGCGAGTTGAAGTGGCCTTGAGCTTGAGCGTGAACTTAGCTGATGATACTGCTGATGATTTAAACTGCTCAGCACAAGGCTTCCGACAAGAATGCCATTATCAGCCAGAAAGTGCGGCAATAAACGATACCCGAACGATACCCAAGAAGTCCCAACAGATACCTTTGTTGAGACATTGCCCACGTGGCCTTTGCGAGAGCTCCCTTCGCAGCCATGAAAAACATCTGCGGCCGTGATTGCTGCGCTAAGACTGCTTGTGAAGGAGATTTTGGCAGATGAGTCTCAGCGACAGAAGTTGGTTGGAAGAGCTCAGGCGGCTGTTCTGGGTCAAGCAAAGCTTCCCCGCGGAAAACATGATTGCATCCAAGCAAAGACACAGCACCTGAACACTGACGAGGGTACAGCGATGAAAGCGCGCTCACCAGGAGACAATCCGCCCAGAGCAACTTGCTACCTGGTGGAACAGACCAGCAGTTCGCAGGCCAACCAGATCACCAATGTCAATGTCTCATTGACAAAAGAAAGAGAAGGAGCGAAAAGCAAAGGGAACGTTCAAAAGCACGGAAAGAGTTGAAGCAAACTGCTGTTGCCAGTTCAGACTCTTTGTTTGCAACCTCAACCTCCGACACTTCAGACTCCTCCGAGTAGAAATGGAATGTGGTTGGGTGGAGAAGGGGTATTGGAGAAGTGGAGGTCTCCCTTGGTCGGCGCAACCTGTACTCAAGGTACTTGTGCTGGGCAAGCAGTCTAGGATGGAAGGGACGGTGGCCAGGCTCCAACCACCACTCTACTTGGAATGTGGCCAGGGAAAACCCGGCTTCTGGCATCAAACAACCACACACACTACTGGAGACATGTCATGGTGTGTGTGTGAGTGTTTGTATGTGTTCTCTGAGATACCTTCTGGTTTTGAGCCACGGCATGAAGAACGATAGGGAAGCCCACATGCACCTAGGGAAAGCACAGGCACGGAAAGCGAGGGGACTCACTAATTCAAAGCGAAAACAATTTATACACGTAATTATAAAATGGTTGTCCATAATGATCACTTTTTGAGGCCCCTCGCTTCGCAAACGGATACGACACTATTGAAACTATCAACAACAAACTTGTAACCCATCCATTTATTAATTAAACGCCTTGGAAGCCCAATCGGTTTGCAAAGGCCTATCCTATTCTGTTGCGATGTATTGCATGAAGACCCCACCCTCACACACACAAAATCCATCAAAATCCCTACCTCGATCTGAAAAACGTTTCAAGTGCCACCCACCATCTCTTGACTGATCTCTCAACCGTTTATCAGTGCGATTTTGCACACAAACGTTTGGATTTACCAATGCAGGTTTGAGGGGCGAGATTGACACGAGACGTTGTTTATGTGACTTTGTTCACTTTGACTGACTTGTGGCCTTGTGGTCATGTTTGTGTGATGTTTTCAGGTGTTCACTGTTACCCCCCAGCAGAAAATGGAATCATTTCTTGTACGTTTTGAAGAGGTTCGTGAACAGTCGTGTGCAACACCCTGAAGCGGCCAGGGCCAGGGCAAGAAACTCTTCGATCTTCTCTGCTGGGAAACTCAACTTCATCGCTGCTTTGCAAAGTGGTTTTGTTGCTGCATGTGTTTGCCGATTTTTTTTTGCACGAGGACGAAGCCTACAGTGGTTCTCGAATAGAGTATCCATTTCCCCATGCAGCTTTGAAGGGCTCATATCATTTGAGAAACCTGAACTTTCAGTTTGGCTGGTGCAGCTTTGGTGCTCTTCTGTTTTTTTCTCCCAGGCCGGACATCGACGAACACCGTATCGGCTGGGTTCTTGGCCAGCCGCGCCAGTCTTGGGAGAGAACAGTTTCTCTTCGGTCGCTTTTGAGTGTCGGAGCCGACCAGTGCCCGGTCTGCTTGGTCACTGGGAAGGCTGTAGATCCGCAAAAGACACATGGCTAGGTCGGGGGGCTCGGTGATAGGATGTGCACGCGGGCCACTTGAGGCAACGGGCAATGGACCCATAGAACACCAATCTCGAGCTTCAAACGATTCAAAACCATGCCTTTGGCCATTCAACATTTCACAATGTTTCAGAGCGCCTTTTTGCTGTATTTTCTTCTCAGTCCCCTGCGCACGGGGTGCAAGATCCCGGTCCCCCTAGCCCTGCAGAGCTCGGTCTGGTTTCACCAGAAACCTTAGACGCTGGATCCAGATCATTTCATTTGGTCCCGGGCATCTGTAACTTTTTGAGTTCGATGTGGCCACTGAGACCAATTGAGCATGTAACCGGTCCATCTGTGTCCAGGCACCTAGTGGCTGCCTTTGAGTTCCAGCGGTCCTAGTCTCAACCATTCATTGCCCATAGTCTTAGCGAAGAACGTCCAGATCTGGTGAAAGGTTGCTTTTCGCCTGCAGGTGAGTGAATTGCGTTTCTTGGAGAAGTGGCTTGGGCTCTCAGCTTCAGGTTCCTCTCAGTTCAATCAAACACACCTAGCCGACCGAGCAATGAATGCCAAGCTCCGCTTTTTGCACGCCCACAGTGGAGAATCTTTGGGGTCCTCGTCAGACTCGAGTCATGGGGAAAATTGAAAGGATTCAGTAAAGATGGAAGTTCCTACTGCAACCAAAGATGAGGGAGAGGCTCATGAGGAGTACCTGGGGTTCGTTGCAGGGAGCGGCAGCTGGCCGTCACTGTTTTGGAATCTGATATTTTGTGTCAACGACTTCAAGGAGTCGAGTCGGCATGGCAACATGGTCTGGTCCGTCCACGTGGTGCACCGAGGCATAACCCCCATAACCCCTCTTTTCGAATGAGTTCATTGTCCCGAACCCTTTGGCCAGGGAAAGTATCATTCATTGCACATCATTCGTTGTATTTGATGCATGATATACACCACTTTGGGATTCAAATACAACGTATTCTATCTCTCACGCCCTACGAGGCTGCATGGCTCCGACCTGAGGCGCCCGCCGCGGTACTTCGTCGTACCACCGGACCGCACCCGCATGGGGCAGTTCAAATCTGCCCGGGACCCCAGAGACGTTTCGGGCCATTTCGCACGAAAGATGCCGGTGCTGGGTGGCCTGACTTGTTCCAAGAACGAACCCCTAGCAGCACTTGTTCATAGCTCCACCTGCCACGTTTGCATTCCAAAGGCTCAGGACCAAGAAGAGCCACGGAACCCTATTTGACGGATGCTGTTTGAGTATGAAGAAAATGATCAGCTTCTTAAAAACAAACAGACCCTTCTAACCGTGGGACCCTCACAAGGTCAGAACGATTCAGATTCATGATAGAAAAGGCAACTAGAAACATAGGGTGCTTTTACAAAGATGCAGTCATGAGTCATATTATAGTATGAACGATGAAGGATGCCACATGTTTATAATCAGGAAGGCTCTGCAAAAAGCACAGCTTTTGGATGGCATGAAGTTGCTACAAGGAGAAGATCCGTATAGAGGAACAACATGTTGACCACCACAAAGATTGGATGTGTAGCATCCACGTATGTTCATAGAGGTCATTGTTTTGAGGAGGGGTGCCTTGAATGTTCAGTCCTTCTGAAGGCGAGGACCTGTCATAATGAACTTTGGATAGAGGATGGGGTGACCTTGACACAAACGAAGAACTCTCATGAAGGGTGAGGCTACAGTAGAGAAAACGGGTCTCTTCAAAAATTATGACCTCTTCAGAGGAAGACTTGAAAGAGGGTTAAGTATATATATATATACATATTTGGGCGAGGAAAGGCAACTCCCCTTTAAACAATGACGAAAGGTCGACAAATAAGGAATTTGAATTGTGAACTTGTGTCTTATGGGAAGGTTCTGGATAAGGTAGGGCCATCAACTTTGGAAAGAGGATTGGTTTCCTTCCAAATGGAGGGAGCTTTGTTGACATGATAGCGAGTCAATGATGTTTCTTGAACGGAAGATGCTTGTTGGAACAATGATAGACGTATGATGTATGTATGATTATGTATGATGTATAAGTCTTGTCTAAAGGAGGAGATTTCTATGATGGGGAAGGATTCCGGAACAGTAGGTAGGAATATTGCGTGAACGAGTCAATGTTTATCAAGGGTAAGACATGTTTGTGAACAGGGAAGGCCTCTTCAAAGGATGAGGAGGACAGCTATAAGCTTGTGTATAGAACTTCCACTCCTCACAACAAGCCCTTTGTTTGGGGGCGAGGGGGAGGTGACTTAGGGCACCGGAGGTTGGACTTTTCTTTTGGGGGGTCTTAGAGCCACATCAGCAGGCCAGAAGAGCAACAAGGGGATTGTTATATATTGCCTCCACGGCAGACGTGTTTGAAGGTATTCAGACGTTTTCCTTGATATTTTTGCCCTTAAACATCTGGTGTGACTGGACCCCTGCTGCTCTTCAGGGGCTGGCGGATGCCCATGGCAATGCGCTGAAAGCTTGGTGAGGGTCTCGGGAAGACTGGGGAGCAAGGACGGCAATGAACCTGTCTCTCTCCTTGTGATTTTTTGAATTTCCCTATGCCGCCTTGCAGCCCAGTCAGTGGATGGCAGTCCATCAAAGAAACTGCTTCAGGCTCCATGACTAGCTGACGAATTGACGATTTCCGGCGAAAGAGCACGCATCTGGAATTGCACACTGGAAACAAGCATCCCATCACACGTGTCACAGGTTCAAGATCTTGGATACTGACCAGTCGCTTGGACGCACCAGAGGTGGGCTAGGCATGAAACGAAGGATAAGCATTCAAAAAAGCATGAGAAGCACCAACGAGTAAACCTAATAGTTGGTATTAAGCACATGTTTGGCCCCCTGATCCGCTGGTGCCCCTGCTCCTCGTCCCTCGATCTTCTGTGGGTTTCCTGTGTGCTCCTTGGGGTGAAGCGCCGCGCCCTTTCCTAACCCCTCTTACCACGCCGTGAAATCTGTACATGCTATCCCTAACTCCGGCTTTGCCACAAAAACTGTTTCTAAACATCAGTCTACCCCACCAGCCTTACACATCTGTTTGTGGGCAAACCACGCCATAGGAGCCTTTCAGATACCTCACGCACCATTCCTTGCGCACCTTTACATGATTTTGTGTGAGTCAGACTTTGTGCTGCAAATGCCAGCGCTCTTCCCTTTTGACCACTTATATACCTTATATACTAGTACAATTTGTTGATCCTTCACCCCTAGAGGTAGAGTCAGCTGTGGACATGAGATCGTTTTGGATGTATGTGTTGACAAAGGTTGCCGTGAATGGGACGCATCAATGTGACTTTCTCAATTTTTGCGGAGCTTTGCGCTCCAACAACTGATCGCGTACTCAAGACAGATGATGTGGTGATTCTGACTCTTCTTTTGGCGGATACTTATTCAGGCTCTCACAAGGTTTGTGGACAAAAATACCCAGATGCCTTATCATAGTATCCTTGCGGAAGGGGCAATAGCGCTATCAGTGACGCTTAGCGGAGGTGCGCTGTTTGCTAGTTGAAAACTGCCGAAGTAGCATACTGTTTTCCCAACCGCCAACGCAAAAGTAGAGGAACAACATTTCTAGTTTGTTTACATCAACTTGTGCGTCACCAACTCGATGGCGCGCAAATATCACTTGGTGAGCTTCATTTGGAGCAGCCAAACACTCCCAACCGGGCCGGATCGGATGGCGCGATTGGCCCAGGGCAATGCGGATAACGGCTGCGCGCTTTCACGCGCAGATGCTGCGCTACCGGAAGCTGACGGATGAGGAAGCAGCACAGGCGGGGAGGCTCGAGGCAGATTTGAAATTGATTTTTTGACATTGATCACACAGATCACGCAGATGATGCCAGCGCAAGATCTCTATATTTATAAGTGAATCATGCAGATGCGTCGATTTCTGCCAAATCTGTCATTACTGGTGGTGTTCGCACGCCTGAGGTCTGGAGAGCCCTAGACGTGGACTGCTCCGGGCATTTGTTTTTGAGGAGGTATCACCCCAAGTCCCACGAGGTGCGACGCTGGTGATTGAGAGGGTTTGTCATACTCCAGGCCAGTAGGAAGCACACGCCACGTGTTTTGGGCTCTGCCCAAGCTATGAGGGGCAAGAAGATGCAGGAGAGACGACCAAAGCCAATCATCAGGGATCTACCAATTCTTTTTGCACAGGCGGCCGCAAGCCTAAAGCGCTGGGCCGCGAAACACGGTGGGGTTGTGACTTGGCAGTGCGGCATCGTCCGGGCGAATGAGTCAAAAGACCATTTGCAACTGGCCTGAATGAACGAAGAATGCGAACGATAGAGCCCCAAGAAGGCGCGAAGTCCTAATTCAGATCTGAACATGAAGCAGCCAGGTCCGGCTAAGCTGGTTGTCAACAGACGTGGAACTGGAACCATTATGTCGAGGAAGCTGGTCTTGGAAAGGTCCATCAAAAGTCTGAATGCTTTCAGCTGACCATTATCATTCGTGTCAAGGCGTTTCCTGTCAAGTGAGCGGTTTTTGATTTCATGTCAGTGTGCTACTCCCTCTTCCCCTTCATCCCTTCTCCGCCTCTTTCGCATCGAATTCCTGTGTTGTATCGCGTGCCTGCTCGCATCGGGCCTTGTCTCAGTATAATAGGGGCTTGTATCATGTCAAGAAGTATGGGGCAGAGGCTCTGACTCAGAACATATGCCAGAACACATGTCAAAGAACACATGCTAGACTTCATGCCAGAAGAAACGTCAGGTCATTTGTCAGGATGGTTTGTCAATGCATATGTCCTTCCTTTCGTTCCTCTTTCCATATCACCTATCAGAATTGAATTTGCTCGAAGTGAAGTACTATATATGTTCCTCTGGCCCTTCCAAATCCGACGATCTTCACCACGTCGCGTTCCAAACGACTTGATCAGCACTGAGGCCAAATTCATCAGCCGGCTGGAGCCCCCGTCCGGGAAGGTGACGAAGGTCTCCTTCCGCAAGGCGGACCCGCCCGGGGAGACAGGGAGACATGGAGTCAGAGCAAGAATTGAGTTTCACCATCACCATTGTTTTGCAGGGTTGCAGTGTGCCGGTGGGTTCCAATCCCGCACAACTATTGGCATTTTTGTAGATATCCGGAGATTTGTCGCACAATGAAACATGTTGTTTTATGAGTCAGCCAAGTTGTTTAGGAGATCTCGCACCAGCAAGACTTGAACAGAGGCTACTGAGAAACGATGAGCCAAGTATCCAGACCCGGCAAACAACTTGGGTACATCTTCCTGGGATGATCTAGGACACTTCATGCCGGGTGGTCTTACTGAGTCATTTCTGTACTCCTCAGGCATGTGACCAAACAGATGCAAGGTCTGGATAGACTGGATAGGTCTTGCCCAGAGGCGCCGGGTAGACTACGCCATTGGGTATGGTCCAGGACATTCCAGGGCAAACCGAGGGCCCCAGCTCGTCACTTCGACCCTTGTTATACTAGCAGGTTCTTGTTTCTAGTAGTATGGCCAGGAGGTACTAGATGTACTACTAACTTCTTGTTAGTAGCGATGGCCTCCAGCCTACTTGCGATGGCCTCCACCTAATAGCGTCCAGGACGCAAAGCGAGGTCTGGAGAGGCATGCCGTCTTTGCCTCGCGCTAGCCGCTAGCAGGCTCTCGTTGATGTCCTCGAAGCACCTGTCGGATTTCCCAGCTGGGTGGTGCAGCATGGTCATTGAAGCCATAGCTGGAGAGGCTGAAAATGAGGTCTGCTGTGACTACAAGGCTTTTGTGTCTGGGGGGAGAGGCCTGAAGCTTTGATCAAGATGTTGATGTGAGGGCCGATAAAGGCCGAAGGTGACACGAATAAAGGCTTGCTGCAAACTCAACCTCATCGGCATTCTCCATCATTTTCCAGATGCTTCTCCAGGCTGCTGACTTGCTGTTTGATGGCGCGGAAGCCGAGTTGGGTTCAGAAGGGCCTTCGGATGAGCATCCCCCAAACAGTCCAAAACCAACCCCAAACCCAAGACGCTTTGTCGAAGACTTCGTCGACGGCTTTGGGGGAACAGCCGTGGCAGCTCTGCCTGAGGCCTCGATGTCGGAGACACTGGCCATTTGACTGAGCAGGTCGAGAGCGCGAACAACCAGCGACGGGTGTCCGGTGGTTCCGGTTGATGTGTAACAGGAACTCGAAGAAATCATGGGGCAAGCACGGGCAAGCCACATTTGTTCAGTGTTGTTTCCTGCTCGAAGCTTCCTGTCCTGGAAGGCGGCAGGTGAGCTTCCTGTTTTTTTCCAATAACTATATAGTTAATAACTAGTTACTGATGGATGTTACTGTAACTAGTTCTGAAAGGTCTGCCCATTTGTTGAAAGATCTAACCGTGTTTGCAGGAGGTCCGCTGTTTGGATCGCTGGGACCTTGCGTCAGAGGCGGTTTTTGAGAGACAGAGGGTGTCGCCACCAGCGGGGAGAACAAGAAACATCAAGAAACTACCCCGCTGGAAACTCACATGGACACTGAACACCACTGGTTCGTAGAGGAAGACAGTCTTTCAGGGTGCCATCCTCAGGGTCCAAGTTAGTTTTTTTTTTTTTTTTTTTTTTTTGTGTAGCTGTTGGGATTGTGAGGTCAAGAAATGTCAAGAAGAGGTCACAACGAAGGTGGTGAGGATTGACCATACGGATCCATCCGATTCATGTTCGGGGCAGGATGGGGTTTGCAATGTGCAGACAACATTTTGAGCGCCCCTTCGACATTGATTCCTGCAGAGCCAGTGCCACCCTAACAGCCTATGCAAGTTAGGGCAGACGAGAATGCGTCGTCTCGATCACGCGACTCACAATGCACAATTTTTCTAAATATGGCGCATGGGTTTGAACAGCATAGGCATTAGACTGGATAAGACCGGACCGGTGCTTTCGCCTTTTCCTCTTCAACAGATATGGTCACACCAAGGCCAGGCATCCTTTAACAAAGCACCATTCGCCAGGATGAACTGCACGCCCGAGATGCTGGACCAGTGGCGCTAGCAGAGCGCTCCCAGATGTTTTTCGATCACAGCTGGTCCCCGACACCAAGCGGCCAAGTTTCGTTCACACAGATGTCGAACGTACTCAATGTGAACGGGCATTGGCGCAAGGAGACCCTCAGTCAGATCCCCTTAGCCATCCTTAAATCAATGGTTGAGGTGCGACGAAAAACACCTTTGCGTTCACATGCTGTCTTTGGTACGTCGACTTTCGGCTGCAGGCTTGGCTTCTACGCACGGTCTCAGTGCACCTAATATATTATGGCCCTTGTGGATCATGCCCACAATGATTCCATGTGATTCTCCTGCCAAGTTGTAGAACTCTGATATCAGGCTGATCCATTGTGGATCCTAGCCCGAGTAGTTGAATGTTGGTCAAGTCCGGCAACACTTCCAAGGCCAAGTAAGCGTCGCTTGAGGCGCCGCTGTCTTGAGGCGCGCGCGTCGCGGTGTGGGATGTTAACGAGGTAGCTGTGGGTTGCAAGCATGGGTTGGATAATGCCACGAAGGTAGCGGTGTTTGAGCTTCTTGGTTTTCTGCCTTGGAGGTTTGATTGAGAGATTGTTTGGGTGCTTCGGTGATATGTCCACAGTCCAACTGTGTCAGAAAAGCGGTGCACCCGAGCCCAGAAAGAAGCCGAAGATTTTGGCGGCTTTGGATGTGTTGCAACGGCCAATGGTGATGGATCAGTTAAGCCTCCAGCCTAGGTAGTCGGATTTATTCAGGATTGTTGCTATTGTTGATGGACATGTGCTGTGCCGGTTTGTCTACTGTCTTCAAGTTGACTTACCCTTGTTATGCATGGCATGGCGATGCATGGCGTGGCAAGTCCTCAGTACATCAGCAATTAGAATCGTATTCAGGGATCCTGTTTGCAGGAGGCAATCCAAAGCCGTCGAAGCGAACAAGAAATGTTCTCGGCCGTCTCCGGTTAACAGCTGTACAGTTTGGCTCGGACGAGATGAGAGGATGGGAGCAAGCCAGCCACATGGCCAGTATATAATGAGGTCCATCATGTGACAGAAGTCAGAGAAATGTGTACCAAACCCGGCAAGCAGAGGCAACAAGTGGTCCTATTAATTTCAAAGCCACGAGACTGACCGCATACTGTAATTATATCGTCCGAACAGAGCAGCTCTTCCAGGGGTTCCTGTTTAAGGCCATATCTGGGATCATCGAACGCTGGATCATCGAACGCTCGGGACGCTGGTGTCAGTCCTGGATCTCGTTTTTTTCACCTTCCTCCAGCTGTAGCCTTTGCCCGCGACCCTTTGCAGTGACGCATTGTAGCGTCTGGCATCACTGCCCTGATGCGGCTTCGGCTGGGCAAATGAGGAAGGCGGTGGTAAGAAGGGAATCCCGATAGCTACCAACAGTCAATCCGAGAGGAACATGACTGCAAGGCTGACCAAGAACTCTGGACTTGCTGGTGTAGATCCTTGACATTCATGGATAGACCTCCCTTTCCTGGATTGAGATCTCTAAGCATTCATCATTAAGGGGTTCAGGTCTAGCATGATTTGTTACTTCAAGTTTTGCGGATAATGCCGCAACATTTCCCCCAGCTCAGTCCAGTGCCGCGGCGCAATGTAAAATCCGCCACCACAAGCTAGCTGCACTAGCATCAGTCCACAAAACGTCGGAGCATGCGCGCACCCTCGTTTGCAAATGACGGGAAAAACCACATCCTACCACAATGAAATGGGAAACAGCAGTTCGTTGAGGTTAGTTTTTGGAACATATTGGAACCAGGGAAACATAGAGAGAATTGTTTTCACTAGGCCAGGCTCAATACCCTTGATTGGAGTTCCTCTGCCAGCTAAGGCGGGCTGCTTACGGTGCCAAGGCGGTTTCAAGTGTGGCAGGGATTCACTTCTTCGTGGGGTCTGTTGCTCCGAGGGTCGGTCGCGAAACGCACTCGAAGCGCTTCGGTGGATGGAGGTTCTGAATGGGTCAGTGGGTCTTCTGTTTGGCTTATTTCTGGGAGGGTCACACTCCCCCCAATGGTCCCTTTTAGGTTTTGGCCAATATGGTCATGTCATCTACAACATTACAACACCCAGATGTGTTCTGGGTGAGCCGCCCTTCATTTGGAGCCACCCAAAGATACCCAAAGCATTTATAGATAGCTTTGCCTACATTGTTCTTGGTAAATTGTTTTGTTGCATTCTTGTTTTGATCATCACGCCATGGGATACCATGGGTATTATATAATATACTGTAATTTGTTACTCGTATTACTGTCACATTGACATTGCATAGTGTATGCAGACGCATGCCGAAGATATTTCCATATTGCATTTTCAACCAGGTAGCCTGCATGACCAGAACCATGGGTGCTTCCAGGCTGATGCATTGAAGAGCTCTTCAGAAAACCTCACGCCAGAGACAGAGGTGACGGAATGTGGCTTGGCGCACAGAAGGCGCTTGATGGCTCCCTCCCACAAACATGGAAGTGGAGGAGGCCGAGCTTGTCAAGTAGCATGCTCAGAAGAGCGGGTTCGACTTCCATGTTTGCTCAGAGGGCATGACAAATTTTAGAACCACAGGACAAAATATGAGGGTGTCGGTGTCACTGAGCGGTTTTTTTATTTTTGTTGTCCTTTTCATTTTTCATCGTCATGACTCTGAGATCTTTTCCTCTGATAAGTTTCGTTACCTCTTCCTACTTTTGCCTATCCACCCAATAGCTTAGCTTCACACACTAGCTACTCTTCTTATCAGAAAAGGAGAGCAACATGGTGAGCTAACTACCAATACAGCACGCTGACCAAGAAGGGAATATGAAGATGCCTTATTCAACAGAGGAGTAGTGGTACCTACTGTAATCCGAGGCTGCCGGGGTCTAGTTGGGGTGTTGTGTAAGAGTATATATATCGGAACAATCAATCCTGCTACTTGCATGTGACCTATTTGTTGTTGAGTTTTAAGTTTTGTGATTTTCAAATGTGTGCTTTTGAACAAGCAAAGTTCTGCAATATGCTGACAACTACCAGAAAAGCACAGCCTGTTTGGACTAGGAAGATCTTCCGGAGGAGATAGAAACAAACGCTATATCTCAAAGTCTGGTCCTCAAATTTTGGTCTAATTGTGTGGCAGCCCAACCAAAACCAAAGAAGGACAATTGATCCAATACCAAAGGTTCTGCAAGTGTCCCTGTTTTTTAATATTTGGTTGGCCCGTCACACACTCTCAACCCTGAGCTAGCAGACAATACTCAACACCGTCCAGGGCAGAATGCATTGCAAAAAGCAAAAAGTACAGGCTCAGGGTAGCCTGAAAGATATGGCAAGAGGTACCGGCACCATCCAGAATTTCAGAATGATGGAGTTACACGGAGTTAGCCCTGTGCTTTGGATGAAACAAGTAACAAGAAGCTAGTAGAAAACAAGTGCATCGCTACTAGGAACAAGTGCCTTACTAGTAGTAACAAGAAGCTATTAGAATTATATAAATTAAATAGCTTCTTGTTACTACTAGTAAGGCACTTGTTCCTAGTAGCGATGCACTTGTTTCTACTAGCTTCTTGTTCCTACTATGGACTACCTTCTAACATTTGCATTGGTCGATGCAAATTCATGTCGGCAAATATGAAGCTATGCTCTGAGAGATTGTCAAGACTTCGGCTGTCTACAATACGAAGGCGGCCCTGCATGAGTTATCAACCTCACCTTAAGTCTGAATTGATTGCTTCCAAACTTCTGAGTTTGGGGCCTGATAGCAATGATAGACAGATGTACAGATAAACATGTCTCAAAATCTGATATCTTAATATAACTGTACACCGTACAACCGACCAGTCAACTGACCCTGGCTTCAAATCTAGGCTTATCCTAGTAGATTCCTTTGCTAGTAATTGCAATTCTAATTAAATTCTTATTGTTACTAGTAGTAAGGCACTTGTTCCTAATAGCTTCTTTGTTACTACTAGTAAGGCACCTGTTACTACTAGCGTGGCACTTGTTTCTAGCTTCAACCGACTTGAGGTCCTACGGATCCCGTACGACATGCAGCTTCCCAGGTGGGGGGGTGGCCGGCTCAGGTGCCGACAGAAGTATGCGATGCGGGTTCGCGAGGTAAGGGGATCCTGAGAGACTAGGAGCGTTATATAGATATGTTTCAGGTACGGTATATAGCCTAGGGGCGTTGGGCCTAGGAATGCTAAGGTGATAGCTCAAAACGAACATGCTAATGGTGAACGAGTGCCAGCCAACCGGCTGAAAGTGGACCATGATAATTAAATAACAGGGAGGAGGAGGGAGGAGGATGGGCAAGAGAATGCACAGCTGCACAGGGGTTTGGCTGTCTCTCTGACTTGTCACTCTCCATTCTTGGTATTACCCTCCGACAATGGACAACCTTTTCTAGAGTCATCTAGAGTCAGAGGAGAGGTCCTTAGCAGTCCTTACTCATGCGCAAGGTGGGAGAGCCCAAGGTGTAGATATTATATACAGCATAAATATATGTGTATAAGATTGTATAGGTTTTCTATACACACCCGCCTAGTTTCTGCTGGTCTTCAGCACACCTGTTGTGTGTGTGGTGCGTCCGATGGTGGTGATCGAAAGGTGTTCTGTGAGGCAAACCACGTTTGGAACGGCCAATCATTTGGTCCGCTGGCGCCGGTGAGGACTCAGTTCTGGAAATCGAGATGCACCAGAATCCTGAGACGGCCAAGGCTGACCGGTGAAGTGGCGACCACTGAAACGACTTTTCAAGAGCAATTTGTTCTTGGTTTTGGGGTGCATGTCACTTCCGAGCACGTGCCGTGTGAGATGCTGTGAGCATCTATGAGCCCCTTTCACAGCCCCAGCTAAATGGCATGGGTGCACAAACTGCTTGGCCCCAAGCGACTTCCCTTTTCTGGGAGTGGGGTGGAGCAACGGAGTATTGCCTCTTTGGTGCTCCAAGCCGGTCCACTGAGTCCACCTGGGAAGCCCAGGTCCCCTCGGTCGGTTTCGCGGCGTCACGGTCCGCCAAGAAGGATTCCGAACGTCGGCGGGAGGAACTCAGAAGGGCCCCAAGCACCTGGACGACTGTCCAACTTCGGTATCTGCAAGTGTTCGCAAGATCCGACACAGAGAAAGTTCAGCATCTGACATCCAGGACCTCCCGAACCGACCATATTGTGACGCAGCAACCTTGAATGATCTTGAAGGTGTTTTGAGGGTTGAACTCTTCGAGTTGCAAAGGCGGTCCTTTTCCTTGAGGAAACCCTCGAAGCCACTCCGGAACCCAGAACTGACAAGTGACAAGAGCTGAGAAGAGTCGGCAGGAGCGGCGAGCTTCTGAGAAGTCCTCCGCCCGGAGTAGTTTTGAAGCAATCATGTGCCTTGGCACATCAATGCTTAAATTCAACCCCGGCCAGAAGAAACATGTTTATATCATTTGTATATATGAAGATGACATATACAGATGACGTTGAGAATACGAGGTGCTGTAGTGCAACCAGTTTCGATGATAGCTTTCGGCAGAGGACACGGTTTTGGGGATTGGTCTCCTTAAAGATGGGGCCTTGGAACAAGGTTCGCTCCCTTTCCTGGGAAACATGCGGTCTGTGTGCGGGCACTCCGCCGGTTTCACCGAGGTCAGGGGTGAGTGAGGTGGAGAACGACTCAGCAATAGCGCTGTAGGATCTCGCAGGGGACACCCGTCGCCACCCTAAGGCCAGGGGTCGAATTTTCTGGATCCCTGGGTTCATGTTGGTTTGAGGGCCATCTTCCAGGTGTCGGTCGTGTGGGGCGTTCTTATATGGATCACATGACAAAAAACGTGGACAAAACATGTCTTCTCATTAGGCTTCAGATGGAAGAAGACCACGTTTTCATGATAGACTTGGTGCAGATGCCCACGTCACCTCTCGGTCCCACGTCACGGACCGAGGCTTCCCGCCAAGCGCATCCGCTCGGTGGTACGACCCGCCTCGACCAGTGCCAGGTGGCAGGCGGATCCGTTTCGGTTTTGAGCGGAGGTTCCGGTCCATAGACCCCAAAAGAGCAGAGGAGCAGAGTAGAACAGAGCAAACCCAGGCCACTTTTGCTTTTAGCCCGCTCTTACTTAGTTACAATATAAGTAGGCGTTACTTACTTATATGACTTATATATATAATTAAGGGAGTAAGCTCCTATATAGCTACTTAAGCTTCTAGTAACTGGATGCAGAATAGCTCACACTTCTTCAAGGAACTCCCCTCAGGGCGGGGGGAGCTTCGTTGAAGAAGCGCTCCCACTAGTCTTACTAGTGATTTGGCTCCTAGATTTTTAGGGAAACTTGCTGTAACTAGTAGCTTCTTGCTCCTAGTAGTAAGGCCAGGAGCCCCTAGTAGCGTCCTTGCTCCTAACATGGAGCAAAACGCCCCTAGAAAAGTCTGAAGAATGGAATGCTTGCCTGAATACGGCACATTGTATAACATTTATATAACAATTCTTGCCCTCTTTCAAGGGTTGAGCAAAGACGGCGAAGCCGCCAACCTGTGCCTCAACACAAGATATGCCGAATGTCGGGAGTTTGGAGCAGGTGTTGGCGGCATGGGTTCTTTGGGAATGCTTGCAACCTTATTCTCTACCCGTTTGTTTTTTCCCATTTTGAGTCCGCCAAGCTCAGGTGAGATGTGCATTTTTTCGACACCATTTAGGCAGGGAAAGAAACTTGCTCTGAGCCGATGTCAGTTGGATCGTCCGAGAGAGTCTGAGGACTCTCAGCCTCGTTGGTCTCTACACAGCTGCCTTGTGTAACCTTTGCGCGCGTTTTTTTAAATGTGCCACTGATTTGAAGGCAATTGTGGCAGTTGGGAGGGGATAGTCTGACCTCCGCGGGCTTGAGAGCTGCAAACCGATGGTGGCAGGTGAAATCTTGAACTCGCAACGGTTTGATACGATGCTTGGTGTGATCATCATCGCCAACGCAGCACACTGGCTACTGAATGGAGAGTTTGGTGGGTATTTTCCTCAAGTGAGGAATGGTCAATAGACCCTTTCTGTTCAAAGTTGTGCAAGGACATCGAGAAGGCTCACCAAACATGTAAACATGTAGATTGGCAGGCTAATTGTGTGACATTGCCTGACATAGCACAAGTAGTTGCGGTCTTTCGCGGCAAATTACCAATAGGTTCAGGGATCGGATATGTGTGAAAGTGTTTTCTCATGGGTTTGACTTGCAGAAAGCATGGTGCAACCACACCCATGACCCATGACGTGCTTTTATGACAAGACCTCACTTAGCAAGATCTGAGTGCTTAGCAAAGTCTCTTGTCCGGCGTTTGCCATGAACTGACCCACTACCACAGTTTCCAAAACTTCCAACACTTCTGTAACTCAGGTGAATATCGGATTGGAGCTGTCTTGGCGGGCACAAGGCCAAGACACGACGATCTGCAATGTGCATCTCGTTTGCGTTTCTCTCGCGCAGGCTTCAATATTCCCTGAAGGATGTTGGCTGAAGGGCTTCAAGGGGTCAACATAGTAAGGCACTTGTTACTACTAGTAAGGCATATGTTCTATAACATCACATACGTATACACCCCACGTATATGCACACCCACTTGGTGTGGGCTGCTTCCATTTGCTTGCTTTGCCCGTACTGTAGCAGTTGGAATACGGTCTGGCTACGGCATTCATATGGGTTTGGGGCGAGACGTCGGTTCCTCTCTACTTACTGTGGTGTGCCCGGAATCCACCCTATGGTTGATGGAGAGAATCCTATCTTTGGCACCTGGAAACCGAGCTTCTTGTTCCCAGTAGGAATGCCAGGAGCTACTAGTAGCTTCTTGTTACTAGCAATGTTCAACAACTCCGTTGGAATTTGAGCCCAAAGTCTTGAGGGGGTCACATCTTTGGAGGCACATGAAGTAAGGCTTGAGCATTGCTTCCTGGCGATTTACACCATAGAGTTGGCGATGCGAATGTTGCTAGACTGGCACGTGGTCCTCACCGACGTTTGGGTGCGATTTGACGCTGATCTGCACTGCAGGATGGTTCACTACACACCAGTGCCAGTGGGGGAACGTCTTCACACAACCACGTGGAAAAAGACACCCGCATGAGTCATGTTAAAAGCTATATTCACCGCGATGTTGGCACCGATCCTTTTTCCATCCTCCCAATCAATGTAATGACATCGAAATCATTGTGGTGCTATCAGGACAGGCTTGTGATAGTAATGGCTTGCACCCCCTAACACACCCAAACCCATTTTCAATCACACGGCCATGCGTAAAAAACAAAAACAAAAAGACATATGGCAATGTGCTGAAACGGACGACAATGTTGTGATACCAAGAGCACTGGTCGCGCATTGGCGATATCGTAGGCAAAGACAAACCATTGCAGTAGCCAGAGGGGTTGGGATAAAATCACCACCAGCCTCTAAGTGCCTTAAACGCCACTGATCAGACCAATCGTGACAAACCATTGAAAGCACCAGACGGCTGATCAATCCGTCAATCAGTGGGCCACACAAAAAACTCACACAGATAGAGAGTGCTTGGTGTTGCCAATCCCAGGCGCAACTAAGTATATAACTAGGACCTGATTCTGGTGTATCTTTTTTGCTCAGCTGGACTTTGTCGCCCATGGCGATGTTGCACAGTCCATTTGCTTCAATTAGCATTGAACGATCACGTTCTTCACGTTCTTCAAAGGCTGCAGTGTTCTCAATGTGCCTCCACAAATGTGAAAAGGCAACTTTGAAAGGCCTTTCTTGCGGAACAGCCGGAACAGGTTCGTAAAGGGTCTGGGTCCGGGTGGAGCATATCTGGAGAGGTGGTCAGAACGGATGGATTTGACATTCGAACCCAACCATCTGCCTTCCGTTCTCAAGGACATCTTCTTGGTGAGCCTCGGAATTGTTAGTCAGTGGATCTTGGATCCCTTCTTTTCAGACGTCGCGGAGGCGTGGAGCTCTGGGGGAGGGCGTGACAAGAGCAGTGCCCAGTAGTGTAGACGACGGAGGACTGTTCATAGCCCAGTCGAGCACGTGCCACATGTTGCACCGTGTGCAGTTGGAAGATGACTCAGATGAGGAACATGTGACGTTTGAAAGGGCTTCATTCCTGGCCGCCGCGATGAAGAACACCTTCTGGACAGGACATGACAGGACAGGGCACCTCCTTCAGGATCCCAGTCATGGGCGTTCGCTCGCCGCCTGATGAGGTCCACACCTTGCTGATGCTGAGATGTGCTCGTCTCCTACGCCTTGTGTCTTGACTCCAGGGTAGCACGATGGGCCAAGCAACCAGTAAAACCCTGCACTGCCACTGCTCCTGTCGTGTATCAGGCATGAAACATGATTAGCTGCCCTAACGCCGAGTTCTGTCGTGTATCGCCGCGTCAACCGCCTCAGGCCAAGACGGTGAGGTTTTTGATGCGCTTCAAGGAGCTGTGGATGCTGGTGCAAGGCAATAGTGACCAGAAACCAGTCTCCAGTCGTTTGTGGGGAAGTTCCCCGCCATGAGTTGGTTCTGCCAGCACGATGTGGATAAGGGCGCAAATCCCAAGTGTTGCCTTCTGGCAGGTTTGGCCAACTCGGCTTACACGATGGTGTACACTATTTTGCTCCTCTTCGTCGTTTTGCCTCTAGGCTGTTAGATTGGATCATAAGATTGTTCAAAAGCTTAGGCTGCTCATGGGCCTAGTGGTTATGCCGCTCCTGGTTGGTTGAAGAATAATGCTTCCGCATTACTTCTGATCTTCATGACTTCATGAGGAGTTTGGTTTTATCCAATATGGATGCCCAGGTATATTTTTGCCTGCTTGGCACTTCAGCTGCTATATCAGCATCCTATGATCGAGCAGGACGAGGCTTTGATCAAGATGCCACCCTGTCATTTTGAGCATCATCTGCAGGTTTTGCATGCCGGCCTACCTGCACACTTTCTTTCCGTGCATGGGCATAGCGTTATCACGAAAGCGAGCTCTGTAGGACGTTTGCGAGTCATTCTTTTCCTCGCTTTGCCGCCTCACAAGTCCGATGCACATATGCAGAATAGGATAGAACGTGACAGTTCGTGAAAGTATTACATATAAAACCGTCGGTTCGGCATTCAGCAGATGTTTGTTCACTTTTCAAAAATTCTATGTTTAAACTCCTCCTTCAACATTGATGCACCGATTTAGAAAACCTGTTCCTGGGGAAACTTGTCAAAACTCTTGGGAGGACACCAACCAAGCTAACTATTCTGAACGTGTATCTCCTCCACATACAATAGCCAGGCTGCCAACGAATCTTTCGTCTGAGCCGTCTCCCAGCCGTCACCGAAAGAGTCTGCGCCGGGAGATAGTCTCCCCGATCCCGTCTCAGATCTTCGCCAAGACGGTCCAGGAGAACTTTAGCCCCTGGGACATGACCAGGGTTTGGAGCAGCGATGTTCAGTGCAGCCGGCTGCCACTCCAAAACAAACACGCCGGCTGCCACTCCAAAACAAACTTGGGGGGAAGAGGATCTTTCTTTCTACTGTCGAGTAGGTCCTATCAGAGGGTGAGGGCCATGCAGAGATGAGCGGAGATGTTTTGGAAGGCAACATCCTCGTCCCTTTTCTTATTTCAGATGGTGGGCGACTGTCGCTCCAAGGTGACTTGGCAAGCGCCATGGTGACGCTCTTGCAGTCTCCTGGTTTTTCTGAGTGCGGAGACGGAACAGACATAGAACAGACTTCTGTTGGACATCTTTCCTTTTTGGCGAGGATTATGATTGGTGCAATCCCCAAGCCAAAGGCACACGACAAACTCACTGAGAAAATGGGGGCACATGCAAGTGGCACATGTGATTCGTCCAGTGCCTGCTGCCAGAAGTGCTCCAAGATCCATTTTGGCAAGGTAGTGTACATTGTACATACTTTGGTATCGCAAATCAATTCCTACTCTGCCCCGAACGTAGCTAAACAGTCCATTGATTGGGGGACCCCAGAAAACTCGCATGAGAAGTTCAAATTGCCTTCTGTTCCTGGAAGAAAAGGGCCGAAGGCCACATCCCTCATTGGTAGGGTTCATTTCTTTTTCTGTTTCTGCATGGATCCTTCCAAGTCCGAACGCTCCAAGCCCGAATCGACCCAGGTTTGTCTCCTTCGACAACATTGACACTTGGTCTGATGTGAGCCGAAGGGACTGGGAGACCAGACACGACCAGACATGGTCCCAGAGCAACCCATATCTTTCTCATCCACTCACGTGGGGTTCGGGGGGCTCTTGGGCGGCGACATGGAGGGCTATGAACTTAGGGCATCTTAAGGACTGTAGGCTGGTTGTGTGGGAATGACAGATGTTGTCTCCACAGCCTGGAATCATCTGAAATCCAAGGTGCACGTGTACAAGCCCCTGGGAGATCGCGACCCGCTGCTTTTGGCCTACTTCGTTGTGGTCGCTCGAGCCAGCTTCAGTGCCCCCTTGTCTCACGGCTAGCGCTAGTCAACCCATGCCAATCTCAGAAACCAAGATTGAAGCACTCTCGCAACACAAGTCGCGAAGACCGTTTTGTTGCACCCTATTTAGTTTAGGCGATCGACGTGGAAGGATACACCACTACAAAACAACAGGCCTTTTGCAGTGTCAGTCGGTTCCTATTGACCATGTGAGGAGAATGAAGGAGACAAGGAGACCTGAAGGTTCAGCAAGAAATTGAAGGTGCCAATGGCCTTTCCCGTTCGCCAGGTCATTCTGGTCGTGGGCATCACCATCATGAACTTGGTGACTGGTGGGGGGAAAGGTGGTGGAGGAATGGGTGGGGGATGCGGCAGTGGGCGCAAACAGCCTCGGCATGGAAATCTTCGATGCTGCATTCGATCCGTTTTGAGCGGAGCCTGTTGTCGCCAGACAAGGTGACTGCTGTGATCGTGAATTCCAGTTTGGAGCAGGTGGCCAAAGACAAGAGCCTCCTGCAGCCTAGCCGCCTTAGCGACCACTTCCTTCCCTCCACTCAGTCTCCTACGTCCAGCCTTGGTGAGGCAGACCATTGAGGAGCAGAACCGCAAGAAGGCGAGATCGAAAAGAAGGAAGCGAAAGGATGGAAAAGGAATATAATAAGCGGACACTTTTGTTTTTGCCCGTCATTTGCTCTTAAATCCTGTTGTGGTATCTTATGGTTGTTATAGTATAGTCGCCTAGCTGCGGTAGCCTAGAAACAGCATGTTAGTTACTGTTAGTTTCCGAGCAGTTGCAGCTTGACTAGATCCTAGCCACAATTATATAAAGTGTTTGTGGCCACAGCGAAGGTTTCAAGACCATGACTCTTGTAGACAGCCACTATTTGAATCTTCACCAGGCCATTTCTAGCAGGTTGGAGGCCATCGCTAGTAGGTTGGAGGCCATTGCTAGAGGTTGGAGAGCCTGCAAGTTGCTTTGGCCTGGAGGTCCTTGCAGATTTGAGGGCCATGTTCTACCGGATGGACTATGATGGCTCCGGAGAAGTGAGCAGAAACTGCGCAGCAAGCTGGAGAAATGACTTAAAATAGGCGGAAACAAAATGAGGCCCCAAAGGTATTTGATGGGTTTGATGTATGTATTTGGTTGCTGGTTTAAAGGTTGGAAGGCCTGTGTGCTTCTCAGACAGCTGGATGCTAAAGGGCTTCTTACATTCTCCTTAGAGCCAGATGCTGAACCCATTACTTTGGTCGCAGCTTTGCAGTCTGGAGACGTCCCCTGATCCCACATTGCTTGTTTACGTTGTTTAGCCCTTGATCAGACATTCCCTTGATTGATTCAAACATGCTATTTGTGTCGTATTCCGGTGCAACTGTCACTTGCAGCTCTCCTACCATGGTAGCAAATGGTAAGCCACCAGTGGAAAACATGTCCCTGGCTGAGGAGAAGAAATCTGCCGGATTCCTCCACATGAGCGACAGGCGGGTCTGCTTGCAACGGTCGGAGCAGCGGAGTTGGCTCGATGGTCACGTGAGGTTCTGCGAGAGCTTACTGGCTTCGATGATCCACTGGAGCTCTTCGATGCTCTGGATACCGATGAGAAGGGGGAGATAGGCCACGTGCGGATGATAGAGCAAACATGGTGTGTTTGGAGTGGGCAGTCGATATTACATGTTGACTTGTTCTTCCGTTGCAGAATTACCGTCCTAGAAGGAAGTGTTCTGCGTGCCGTGGGAGGCATTGAAGAGTTCTGCGACGGTCTCTGGGAGGTGGCTGTGTCGGACAGCCCGCTGGAGATCAAACGGATGCAGTGCCTCGGCAGCCCTGGCAGCCAGAGAGATATATAGATGTGGCTGCTTTGGACGATGCCCTCGCAGGGCTGGTAGTATTACACACATCCATACACACATCCATGCACACACCCATGCACACATGCATGCCTGCATGCCTGCATGCCTGCATGCCTGCATGCCTGCATACATACATACATACACACATACATACATACATACATACATACATACATACATACATACATACA